TCCCCTGGAATAGCCAGGCCATGGAGGAGTTTAATCACCCCCCCCCCACCATTCTGCCCAAGCTACTGAGTCCAGAGAGAGCTCAGAGGGTCCGGTTTTATTCAGAATCCGGAGCAGGATGACCTCCTTGAGGAGATGCCATGGGGGGGGGGGAATCTATCCTTTCCCTCTTTCTTTCCCCAAGCCCTGTCTACCTGAGATCGAAATGGTGCATGAATAGGGTCAAACCTGCCCTTTAAGAAATCTTCCCTGTCGCCCAACTCAATTCTGTGTGAAATACAAAGAAATCACACTGTCCTTATTAGATTAAAATTTAATAAAAACACATTAGGTCCGGTAAAATATAAATGCACTGCTTAAAATTTTAATAGTAAATTAGGACCCAGATACCAAATAGGAGACAGTGATTTCTCCCCTCGGGATAGCTCCGGCCGATTTCCGGGTCTTGGGAGGGCGCCTACTGCGGGGACTCCGCTGCTCCGGAGCTTGGGTGGAACCTCAAGCGACCCCTTGCCAGCCCAGGGGGGGAGATGGTCACATCTGTCTGCATCTGGCAGCGTATGGGACAGAAGCTATTGTCGAACAAAGAGCTTGGTGAGAAGAAAGGCTTTCCTCCTGTAGTCACTCATTTGATACATTATCCATTCCTCTGCAGTTAAAAAATCACTTCTCTGTTTTCAGTTTATTAGGTAGGTCTGAAGGTGTGCAGAGGCACCAGCGCAGATAGGTATATGCGTACAAAAGTGCATTTTGAGATCATATGAAGAAGATTTTGGATATTGGGCCGCTCACTCACACCACTTGGGTCTATCCCCAACTTTCCAGTTGTTTAAATGGCTTCCCTTACCTGGAGGGCTGGAGTATTCCTTCCTCCTCGGAGGGTGACTTCCACACTCACTGGAGCACTTTGCAGCAATGCCTGTGGGCAAAACCAAAATGGGCTTTATTGGTATCGTAAGGATGTTGGTATTCTGGATACTCCTGGAAGGAGAGATCGCAAGATTGCAAGTCGTGGTGATTAAGGAAGAATTGCATTTTCTTTCTATATTACAACATAATCACTGCTGTCCATTTTCCACTTCAAGTGGGAAAAGGAGAAATCTAACTCTGCTGCAACCTGCTTTTTTTTTTTTAAGTATGTGTTTTCTAGGAGTAATGGAATACAGGGAAATAAACTCGAATTGCTCAACTAAATATTAATTTATCTCAAGTTGGCAATTGGAATAAAGAGTTTCCTTTTTCCTATCTGGAATTAGACATATTGAGAATATGTCTAATATGAGAGACTGAGAAATCTCTAAGAGATTAAAGAAAAAGTTATAGTAAATTAATGTAATGATATATGGACTTTAGCCATCAGGACAATATTCTCTTGGGAGTTGTCCTGCTTACAATAGTTTTAGTTGATCAATTCCATATCAAACAAAGTTTGTCCAGTCATTTCAACAGTGCCCTCTTTATTTCATGAATTTATTATACTACCTTATTTACCATATGAAGTGGTGACAAGTGTTTAGCATTTTGGAGATCAGTTGTCAGTTGCTATTAAAATCAAGATTAATTCATATTAACGATATGCATTTCTCAATACTCCCAGGTGACAACATACATTAAAACAACTATTGCAAGTAATTAAGCTCAATGAAGGGGGAGGGGTCAGGCAGAGGTTCAAAACACCCCCAAATATTTGATTTTGCAATCCAAGTTCAGCAGACTGTTGCCACAATAATGCTTGGGAAACTCCTCAGGGTTGCTTTTCACTTTACATCTAATTAGGCACCTAATGAAAGAGAAGAATTTTTTCCCCATGTGGTTTTTCTCCTTGATATTCTTATGCCTTTATTTAAACATATAAACACACTGTTTAGAAGGTGCAATGCCCAAAAGTTTCTCCTGTGATTCACTTAGTATTATAATCTGGGGGGGGGAACTAGGTAGATGCGAACATTTGTCTTCCAGTTATTTTCCTCCTCCAATCTCATTCTAGCCCTTTGGCCCAGTACTGACAGAAAACATACCCCAAATATTTTAATTTATTTAATATTTTTATTAGGCTTTGGAGATGCTCAACAGTTTATACTAATTAGACCCTCCAAAGCCTTTTGAAGATTAAGCAAATTGGACAACCCTTGTTAATTAGAACATAATTTGAAGTTTGAAATTATATCATTGATGAAGTAGTCTAATTAGTATGACGATGTGCTAATGGACCAGTGAGACACAGCAACAGTGGAGTTTGGCATGAACCTCTCCAAGGCTTACACAAAAATCCTCCCTCCTATACCGACATTAATAAAAGATTTCTATAGACTTCAGCCTTTCCACGATGACATACAATTTATAGTACACACAATGCATTAGCCCATAGTGCTGCTCAATTTTTTCACTATTATGAAAACTAATAAATTCGTCAAGCTGAATTAAGCATACAAATCAGATGAGGCATAGCAGATTACACAGTGAAGCGCGGTGTCTCCCGAGCCTAAATGAAATTTCAATCTAATAATTCCTTCCTGGCTCAGTCATAATTTGTTTAGAGATGTTGTTCTACTTCTTTCAAAGCGCTATTCGCACTATAATTAAATGATACTCAAGCTTTTAACTTTGATTTATTTCATTTCTCGAAGCTTGAGACAGTGAGAGCTGTACAATGTCATTTTTTTTTCTTTGAAAATTACCGTGGCTGTTGTCGAGGTAGAAATTAAACACCTAAGCATTTAGGCGAACCGTCCAGCGCAAGCCACATTCATTCATGTCAACACCCCTTGTCCAGTCTCGTGTCTAGACTTCTCTGGTCTCATGCTCAGGAACAGTACTGGTAGGAATCCCCTTCAGTTACTATTTATTATTTTCCTCCACATAGTGGGGAGAAAGGCAAGCCCGGGGACAGCGCAGGAGAGCGCAGAGGGGTTAAGGACCGTGGACAGAGCCAGTGGCGCGCCCTCCGTTTCCGCCTTCCGAGGACTCCGGGGGACTGTGCTCCCAATTTGAACCTGCCATCCCGCTCCGTTGAGGTTAGGGGTGAACCGGCGGCCCCCCACCCTCTGCCGCCGCGGGGCTTCCGGGCGCTGACCACTCGAGGGCCCCCCTTCGCCACGCTCCTTTCCACTCTGTTTTGTCCCAGCGCGCGCCAGCGCCTCTCAGGCCTGCCGCCTGCTCTCGCACCTGCTCGCTTTCCCCAGGCACCCTGAGCCTGCACCTGCGCCCAGTCACCCTGGTCCGGGTCAGGCCACCCGCGGACTCCAGGGTCCAGTCTCAGGGCCTCCTCACCCTCGGCTCTACTCTACTCCTTCCACGCTCTGGGGAGGTGACAGCAGCAGCCCTTAACATCGAGGGAAGTAGAAGATAGGAGCGGGTTGGAGGGAAGGTGATGCATATGCGTGTGTGTGTGTGTGTGTGTGTGTGTGTGTAGGAAAGGTTGTCTCCTGCTTTTACAATTTGAACTAAGAGTGTGTGTCCACTTCTAAGAAGAGTGGTCTGCACTGGGACAGAAGTGTGAGCAAAGTGTTGGCTAAAAATAGGCTCTCTGCGCCAAGCGGTTGTGGAAATGAAGATAAGTGGGGCTTGTGCCAACCCCTGAGGGTGTGTGTGTGCGTGTGTGTGTGTGTGTGTGTTGAGGTGCGTGGGGGTGTTCAGCAGCACATGCGCTCTATGATCTCTGGCCCTGCCTCTCCCTCCATCAATTGCCCCTTCCTCTTTTGATTGTGGCTAATGAAGAATAATAAAATCAGTGGCAGGATTTGCCAGTGGATCCGCCCAAGACCCAACTCACACTGAACTTGGATACAGGGAAGAGGAGGAGGAAGATGCGGAGGAAGAGAAAAGAGGGTGAAGAGGAGTGTGTGTCGGTTTGGGGCGCGGGGGAGTAGACAGGGTTGCGGGGGGGGGGGTGGTGCAAGCGGCTGGCGGGGGGGGGGGGAGTCGCATGCGCACAGGCGATCCGAGCTGGCTCCGTGGCTGTCCAATCCGCTGAGAGCTGCGAGAAACCGAGTGAGAGAAAGCCCTGCAGCCCTGTCGACCCCATGTCTCTTCGGCACCAGGCACCCGCCGGGCCGAGGGGGCGCAGCGCCGAGCGCCAGCTGCTGCGTGCACCGGGCGGAAGCGCAGAGCAGCGCGGAGGCGCTGGACCGGGGGCAGCACCCTCGTCCTCTCCTTTGGCGGGGAGCAGGAGATCGGGGTCACCAGAGCCGCGGGAAGGGGCGGGCCGAGTGGGGGCGGAGGCCTGGAACTTAGCGGTAAGCAGGACGGGGGAAGTAACCAGGTAAGAAACGTTCCAAATAGTCTGGGGTAAAAAGCCCACCCAAGGCTGGCTTGGCCCCAACTTTATTCAGGAGTTTCTTTTCCCTGCGCGGCGGAGACTTGGCGGAAGAAGCAGGAGGGGCTGGAGGCCGGCGCTGAGCTCGGCCCCGCCGCTGGAGCGCAGACCCGGACGGTGGGGTGGGGTTGAGCTGGGACACCCAAGTGAGTGAGAGCGGCGGGGCGCCGGCAAGGGGCGGCGGCCTCACCGCGCGGGCGGGGGCCGGAAGGGGAGGTGGAGGGCGCGGCGGGGAGAGGGGGGAGGGTGTCGGGAGAGCCGAACCGACCTGACTCCAGAGGGAGCAAAGAGGGAGAAGGGGCGACGCTAGAATCCTAGCAGGAGAGACGGGCGCTTCCAGGCAGGGAGGGCGGAGGCGCGCGGGAGGGAGGGAGAGAGGGCGGGGGTAGGGGGCAGGCGCGGGGAGAGGGAGTATAACTCGGCGGCCGCGAGGCGCGGGGGCAGTTTCGGGCGCCCAGGTCTGCAGCCTGCGCCTAGCCGAACCCAGCAACCCCCCAGATTGACGGCGGAGCCGGAGGAGGAGCGCGTAGTCCCCGCAAGGCGCACAGAGCTGGGAGCGGCTGCGGGAGAGCGCAACTTTGCATTGCCCTTCCCCGATCCTGCGCTCACCCAGCACTTCTCGAGAGGGTCCCGGCAGGCGGACCAGTGCGTGCGCTAAGGACGAGCACCCGGGCGGACCGGGAAAATGATGATGATGTCCTTGAACAGCAAGCAGGCGTTCAGCATGCCGCACGGCGGCAGCCTGCACGTGGAGCCCAAGTACTCCGCACTGCACAGCGCCTCGCCGGGCTCCTCCGCGCCCGCGGCGCCCTCCGCCAGCTCCCCTAGCAGCTCGAGCAGTGCTGGCGGCGGCGGCGGCAGTGGCGGGGGCGGCGGAGGCCGTAGCAGCAGCTCCAGTAGCAGTGGCAGCAGCGGCAGCAGCGGCGGGGGCTCGGAGGCAATGCGGAGAGCGTGTCTTCCAACCCCACCGGTGCGTATTCCTGCATAATCAACGCTTAAAGGCACATTTTGACAGCCCCCTTTATCTGCTTGATGTTTTTTTCATGTCTGCACAGCAAATCACCCCACACCTCCAACCAATTTCCCCCCCCCTCTCTTATGTATTCAGCGGGTCTTTTCTTTCATATTAATTTTTATGACCTGGGATGTTGCCTGTGCGCGTGTTGTGTTGTGTTGTGTTTGCAAGCTTACTTTCCTCCTCCTCGTGCACTCGGCTTCTCTCAGTGGCGTCCCTCCTCTTCGTCTCACCTGCTTACTTTCAGGATTATTATTATTATTATTATTATTATTATTATTTTAACGTGCTGGGAATGTTGTAGGCGCGGCGGCGTTGTCGAGCGCTGTGCCGGGGCTTCCGGAGAGAGTGCGCACAATTCCCTGCTGAGCGTAATGTGTGCCTTTTACTTGCAATTGCAGAGCAATATATTCGGCGGGCTGGATGAGAGTCTGCTGGCCCGCGCCGAGGCTCTGGCGGCCGTGGACATCGTCTCCCAGAGCAAGAGCCACCACCACCACCCGCCCCACCACAGCCCCTTCAAGCCGGACGCCACCTACCACACCATGAACACCATCCCGTGCACGTCGGCTGCCTCTTCCTCGTCGGTGCCCATCTCGCATCCGTCCGCGCTGGCGGGCACGCACCACCACCACCACCACCACCACCACCACCACCATCAGCCGCATCAGGCGCTTGAGGGCGAGCTGCTGGAGCACCTGAGCCCCGGGCTGGCCCTGGGTGCCATGGCGGGCCCCGACGGCGCCGTGGTGTCCACGCCAACTCACGCGCCGCACATGGCCACCATGAACCCCATGCACCAAGCGGCGCTCAGCATGGCCCACGCGCACGGGCTGCCCTCTCACATGGGCTGCATGAGCGACGTGGACGCCGACCCCCGGGACCTGGAGGCGTTCGCCGAGCGCTTCAAGCAGCGACGCATCAAGCTGGGGGTGACCCAGGCTGACGTGGGCTCCGCGCTGGCCAACCTCAAGATCCCCGGCGTGGGCTCGCTCAGCCAGAGCACCATCTGCAGGTTCGAGTCCCTTACGTTGTCGCACAACAACATGATCGCGCTCAAACCCATCCTGCAAGCGTGGCTCGAGGAGGCCGAGAAGTCCCACCGTGAGAAGCTCACCAAGCCCGAGCTCTTCAACGGCGCGGAGAAGAAGCGCAAGCGCACGTCTATCGCGGCGCCGGAGAAGCGTTCGCTGGAAGCCTACTTCGCCATCCAGCCGCGGCCCTCCTCCGAGAAGATCGCCGCCATCGCGGAGAAGCTGGACCTTAAGAAAAACGTGGTGCGCGTCTGGTTCTGCAACCAGAGGCAGAAACAGAAAAGGATGAAATATTCTGCCGGCATCTAGGAGACCCCGGGTCTCTCCAGGGACAGCCCCCCCTCATCCCCTCTTTTCCCTCCCTCTCTCTCCTGCCTCTTTTCTTTCCACTTTTGGCTACCAGAAGCAATTCCAGTAAATGTGAATCCGGAGAAAGGGAGGATTGGAGAGCGAGCGAACGGGCGAGCAACGGCCAAGCCCGGTGAGAAGGCGAAACGGTTTCTCAAAGGAAAGAAAAACAAAAGAAGGGATTTGTCAAGTCGTAGCAAAGTTGTCCCCTTTGACCCCACCCCATCCGGAAAAGGCACCTCGGCTTCTTCACAGGAAGTCTGGAGCTGGCTGTTTGCAGAAAGGCAGACGAGACAGCCTTTTAAAATGCCCCCAAAATGATCAAGTAAGATTTGTTTTTATTCCTAAAGACATCGCCCTTGTTCAAGTTTAAAAGTACACTTTGCAGCTATTTTTCAGAAGTAGAAGTCGATTCAGGACCGAAACTTTAAACTAGAGTTGATGCTTAATGTGATAGAGACATCTCTAAAGTATTTTGAATTAAAAAAAAAAAAAAGATGGCAGATTTTCTGCATTTACACTGTATATTATATATATATTTTTATTGTGGTTCTTACCCCCCTCTCCCTCTCCCAAGTGTTAATGCTTAAGAAAGGAGTTGCGCCTGCTGTGTTCACTGATCTTGAAAGCTATTAGATTATTGCCGAACAACCCTCTGTAAATTATTAATTTATCTCTCTAGCAACTTAATTTGTGCACATTCTAATTAATTAAACTTTAGTCTAAAAAACGGGGGAAACGTATGGCTAGTGGAGTTAAACAATTTTATGTTTGACGAGTTTATTGAATTTTTATGGCTCTCCTCTTATACTGTGTTCCTTTTGGCCTATTTGTATATTCTCACTTTGAATGACGATTGTTTTTTTTCTTTGTTTTTACTGGTAGTGTTCTGATTTGTGAGTCGACACTCAGTAATGGATGTCTTAATTGTGTAGACCTGATTCACTGTCCAAAGTATTGTTTACTTTGTTACATATTTAATGGGGGATTCCCACATTGTCCCCACTACACACGCGCTCTCTCACTCACCATTACACACACACACACACACACACACACACACACACACACACCTCTAATGGAAGAAAAGAAGTGAAGCAATTGGAAGCATGACTATGATGCATCATTTTCTAGCTTTAGGTGCATTTTGCCACTTGGTGTTTGCCCTTCCAGATTCTAAGATTCCACCAAGGTATTTCAATCTTCTTGTTTTCAATTGCTTTGTTGATTACATTTTAACATTTACAAGAATCCTTCAGTTTTTCCTTTTGGAGGTTTGTTTGTAGAGAAACTAATCTGAACTATAAGAAAGACAGTGCACTGCTTGTAAATTCACATTGTTTGGTAGAATTCTTTTGGAACAACAACAAATTAGGTACATGGTGACTGGTACCTTATCTATTGTAAATATTCCATTCAAAATGATGCACATATAGATATATTCTTACAAATTTTGCTGTATTGCTGTTCCATTTGAGGCTCTCTGAAGTCTTGAGTTCTGTATATGACCTGCTTTCTTGTTTCTTTTTTTTTTTGTTAATAGATGGTTTATTTACTATGGTAATGTATTAAGTTATTTTTGGTGTTGTTTGATTGTCTTTCATTGAAAAGATGATTTTAATGTTTTATTGGCAAAGTATGCTGTTTTTTCATTAAAATATACTATTAAAATTAAATGGCTTTTAAAATGTGATGTTGTTTTCAGTCATTTATATGGAAATTATTTTGATGGGGGATTTTTTTTTAAAAGCAGGAGCATTTTGATTTATTATAGAGTTGCTATCATAGTCTGATTTGGATTTAGTAGGGGCTGTTTCTCTAGGAAGGTGCAAAAGAACAGGGTTTATAATAGACCTCTAATAGCTAGAGCTCATCTTACAGGGTGCTTTGCTTTTCTGTCCACATGAGACTGTGATATTTGGCTCTACATACCTCCCTTTGAATCTCTTCTCCAGATCTGCGATAATTCTGCAAAGACAATCTTTGTGAGCAAGGGTATTACATGGGTAAAAGGAAGAAATGAACTCTGTTTAGTTTTCAGCAGCACTGGAAGACTGGGTGTGGCAAGAGGCCTATTTCTGGGGGTAGGACACCCTAGTTGAGGCCTAGGGGCTGGCCCATCATAATTCTCAGTTCAGTCACCACTCCTGGAAAGCAGTGTCCCAACCAGAGCAGGGAGCACTTAGGTTACTGGGTTATAAAGTAAAGTACATCTCTTCCTCTCTCTCTCTTCCTCCATTTCCATAACCTTTACACCAACTTACATTCTGTAATAGAGAAAGTGGGTGGAGGAGGAAGAAATCCTGAGTGGTTAGAAAGAGTAGAATTAACCCCCTTTCACTCAGACATCAGAGTTGGGGGAAATCTAATGGTGATCTGGCACAAAGAAATTCTGCCCTTTGACATACAAACTTTTAAAAATTTTTAATCCTCATTTAAAAATACTTCCCCACCCATTTTAAGCAACATATTAGGTTTTTAAAGGTGGTTTTTTTTTCAAGAAAGCTCTGGTTTAGATATTTACATTATTAATGATGAGAACACCTTACTAATCTATAGGTCCTACAAGAGGAAGAACACTTTACTAATCTATAGGTCCAACAAGAGGAAGGGGGATCCTATAGGGGAAATTCTGCTACTCTGAGCTGTGACCTAATATGGAACTTTTGGGGCATGTTTCTTATTTTGAAGATAAAGTTAGGAAATGTCCCATGAGTCAATGAAAATTGTTATAAGTGGCTCAAGTTGGGATTAAATGTCGTTAGAGAACATGATTTTCAGATGTAACAAAAAAGCACCTGTTAGAGTTAATGGATATTAAGTGGAGGGGCTTCTTTTTCTACAACTTAAATAAGGAAGACACCGGAAGAGACAAAACCTGTGTGTCCATTTAGAAACAATGAGATATATTGTTTAGATGCTAAAGGAAATACTGAAAGTTGTTGGGATTTAAAAGAATTGTGAATCCAGATACAGTGATATTGATGGTTTAATTTTATTCTTATATTTTGGAGGTTGAAAGTCCCATCTTCAACTTTGCCATCTATTCCTAGGTTCAATTTTCTTGAAAAATCTTTTCAAATAGCCAGCCCTTATCTCACTACAGCTAGGTCCTGATTTCAGCACCACGGATAGTAACCACAGAACTTAGTCCTACTCCACCACAGGTTTGACCAAGCCCTGTCAGCCAGCTGGAGAACTTTCAGCTTACTTACTTTTTCCAAAGTGGAGAAAATAAGTTAAATGGCTTGAGTGTGTAGCAAGTCAACCTTGCTGATCTAGGATTAACATTATCTTTAGTAAGTAACACCCTTTCCCCCAACGTGGCAGTTATCTAAGTCTAGGATACGTGCATTAAGAGAAAGGGGAGTCCATTAGAAGACTGACAGGTGTGCTAGTGTTTTCTTTCTACAAATATAACATCTTTACATGAAGAGAAAAAACTGTAAAAGTAGTAGAAATTGGGAAATATATTGACAGAAATAAAACAGGTATTCTTTATCTTTAGTGAATTTGAAGTACATGGTAGCTTTCATATACGCATGTTTGTCCAAGATTTTTATGACAAAAATGACGTAATGTTAACTATCCATTTACTTCAACAGTTGGGAGTGAAGGCCTATATATTCCCCCTCATTCACTAAGTATTTTTTGTCTCCCATGTTCCTGCACTTTTAAAACTGTATCACAGTTTGAACTGCATCTTCTCTATGTTATTATGAGAGTAAATGAAACCTTCTTGCCTATAAGATGGAAACTATAGTCATTAGTTAAGCTTACTTAAATGTTTTTGTTTTATGGAAAAATCAGAATTTTAAAAAAGAAATATATTCTGAAAGTTTTTATTAGTGAGAGTAGCAGAGATATATCAAAACAAACCAAAGGGATTTGGAGAGAAGAGGATTGGTCTTAAAGAAGAAAGTAAAGGTAAGAACAGAATGAATCCTGTATAAATGGCTAAGAGATATTTGTTTAGTATTGGCTTTCAAAATACTGAGGTAGATAAAAAGCAAATTGTGGGTAAAGAGCCTTGTCATATCAATGAAATAATTTCATTAGCATTCATGACTCATTTCCTAATTTTTTTCTCCAAGGTCCACAATTACTATTTAGTTAGAAAGAGATATTTCATGAATTGACTTAGCACACCTAGTCATCTTCAATTTGACATTTCAGAACTATGCAGTTTATTTTTTTAAACTTTTCCAAATGCAAATGATCCAATCTTTTTGTTCAATGCAATCATCTAAATCTAAACTATAATGGAATAAATGTCTAACAGCAAAGATCATGTAAGTGCTGGTTGATATCTGAGTATTCTCTATACCAATTGTATTCTGATGTTATCCAGAAAAAGTGCAGTTTCCTTGGAATATTTAACATTAAATAGTTGGTCAATTCTTCGTCGGATTACATCTCATTGACACATAGCTTGGGGAAAAAGAATGGAAATATGAAAAATCACGTGAAATAATTATGATTTACGGTCCATATAATACTCTTCTACTTTCTATAAAGTGTATTTTAAAAATAAATAACGATACATAACTAACTCTTTTTACTGTCAAGGACAGATTCTGAAGCCTCTCTTTGCCAAGAGACTTGGAATTGGGGGCATAAAAATGCTTTATTTCAAGCTTTAAATGAATTCATTTTGATCTATCTGTTGGGGACACTCTTGAGGACATGGTGGAAAAGACATTTTAAAATCCACTTGATTTTAAAAGGTGTATTATTCAGAGGATAAAACTTAAACTTTTCCAACCATGCCATGGCAATAATTTTCGAAATTTACCTTTTAAATTGTTTGGTAAATTGTTTGGTAAAAACAATTTATATCTCCAGGTAAATGGTGCACATTAGAACTCAAAACTGTACTTCACTTTTCAGTTGGCCTTAGAGGGAGGGGCTGCAACAGAAGGGGAAAAAAAAGTTAGATTGGTATTCTGATAGGACAAAAA